TCCGGGCTTGCTGTCACAAGTTATGACTGGGGCAAGGCACTTGATACTCTCGTATCTGCATCTTCTGCGTAGACGGCGTGTACGAAAGGTACACCGGTTGCACTCCTTGTCCTCCATGAACGACAGCAGGCGGGACGCCAGGCCAGCCCCGCGCCTTCAGACAGAGCGTATCAGAGCGTGGTCGTTTCACAGGCTCAAGTGGAAGCTTCACATGGGCAGCTTTGCATGACAGGAGACTGCACAGCAGGACCAGCTGATGCATGCAAGCTCTTTAGGGTGTACAAATGCGTTGTGCCGTGCAAGCACAGCAACAGAATGCAGCACAACCATTCTGGGCGAGAGTTGCTCAAACAACAACTCTGAGGGTTCAAGGCAATTAGCCTAGACAAGTTGAGGGCTATGATCCAGTCGAGCCAAGAATCCCCGAATTCAGCAAGGAACTTGAATCAAACCTAGCAGCTTTGATCCCGAAATCATCTCCTTTGGACTGGTCAATGCTTGTCATGTTTCGCACAAGCTGTTCAAGGAATCCTTGATCCCAGGTTGAGATCAGCAGCATACATACGGAAATAAAAGATACACTGAGCTATACTGATGGGACCACAGCTCACAGATGAACCGATAAAATCTTCCAGGCATCTGTGATCTTGAATCTGTGGTCCCTGTTCTGTTTCAGTACGTACATAGATACATATATATATATATACACACACACTGAATTCTGGCAGACCATGCTGGCGCTTCTGAGCTGCTCGCCAGGCTCGGGACACAGCAATGGACTCAATGTATCCAACCGCCTTCCCGACCCCTATGCATTCTTCAGGCGCCGTTGAGGATTCAGCTTTCTACAGCCCTGTCATGCTCTGTCGACTAAGGCCACACATTGACAGATCGAGCTTCCTTGCGAGTCATGCATCTTCTCGATCCGAATCCCCATCGAAACCACCCTTCCTCCATGCTGCCCGCTTCCATCACCACATCCCTCGGGGAGCAGTTCGCAACGACTGACGAAGCCCATGACTTCATGCAATTACTGCGTAAAGCTAACGCAGCCAATCCATATCCACACAAGCTGGTTCAGACAAGACGCATATCCACTGTGCAGGTCACGGAGGGCTGGCGGACAGGGAGTGGCTTTCATGGCACGCCCCGCGAACAACAAGAAACAAGAAGCACCACCACCGCCACCGCCGCCACCACTACCACCACCACGACGACGACAGCAACGGCAACAACAGCAAGAGCAACAGCAACGGCAGGAGCAGGAGCAGGAGCAGGAGCAAGAGCAAGAGCAACAGCAGCAGCAGCAGCAGCAGCAAGAGCAACAGCAGCAACAGCAACAGCAACAGCAACAGCAACAACAACAACAACAGCAATAGCAACCACCACCAACACCATTCACCACACCACCACCACCACCACCACCGCCGCCCCCACCACCACCACCACCACCACCACCGCCTCCGCCACCATTCACCACCGCCACCACCGCCACCACCACCACCACCACCGCCACCACCACCACAACCACAGCCAGCGTCGCGGCACTTGTGGGGCGTTGAAGTTTGGGGATCTTGTTTGTTTGGTGGGGCGGCTTGGGGGAAGAGAGACACGGGCGTCAGCAGTGCTGGCCGTAGCAGTATCCGTACTCCAAAGTGACAGTAGCAACAACGCAACAGGCAATAGTAACAGTGAAAGCAAAAAACGAAGCAATTTCGAAGAGTAATCGAAGTAACAGCGACAATCGGAATATTGTAGAAACACCATGATAATAAATGTAGTCATCACCATCGTCGTCATAATCAAAATCATTATCATCATCACCCTCATAGCCATAGTCATAGCAACAGTGATCGTACATCGTACTGATCGCAGCAATAATGACTATTTTCATTGTTGCTGTAATATGCTGTAATAAACAAACCGTGATGAACATGATAGTACGGGTGAGAGTAACAGCAACTCAGTATTGCAGCAAGCGTGACAGCAATGGAGCCACTCTAGCCGAACATTGAGATCCCCAGTTCAGATGGCTAGGAGATGCTAGGAGTCGTTCTGAATTGCGGTCCAAATGGTCTGATATTTACAGAAATACAACAATGTTTTGATATGTTGTTTGATCCCTGTTTGATTTGTGATCCATATTTTCATATGTGACTTTTTGATGCCTATCCCGACCACAACCGCAACCGCGACCAGAAGCCTCCTCCAGGTCATCGCTGACGTGGCAGCCCTGAGCCGCACCCCATAGTCAATGACTCGGGGTTATCTCAGGTGATTGTCTGCCGTGTCCCACCTCTGGCAATCGCTTAACCCGCAGCACAGAGGCCTCGGCACAGCGCAAACCCAGCAAAGTGTTCCATTCAGTCATAGAGTTCCCAAAGCCATGAAGAAATCAGAGCCCGTCTCATCCCTTCTCAAGCCCCTGCAAGACTCCGCATGAGCATCTGCTGGGGGTCCAACCGCGACCATCTCACCGCTGCCTTCGATGGGAAACAGAAACTAAAGAAGCGGCTCTCGTGGTCTCCGGACGTCTGCGTGTATCCGGCCTGGAGCTCGCACCAGCAAGCTAAGGCCGTAAGTGTCGATCATCTTGCCGCATTCCAGCACAACCTCCGGCCAATTGCGCACGGCAGCGAGGAGCCGGTAAAAGGGCGCTGATGCGGAGGTGTGCAACATGCATGCCTACCTCTTGGGGTGAGTCGACGGAGAGCTCCGGGCGGTCATCGCTCAGCGAGTCAAGCACCGTACCTGCATTCAGCGCAGCAGTTTTTGGTCGAGATATGTTCAAGCCAGAAGCTCATCCGAACACCTCTACTTTTCCTGAGGCTTGGACCTGTGGGCCCTGCTTCCATCTCTTGGATAGCACAGGCTTCATAGTTGCTCCATCCCGACAACCTGGAGGATTCCAGCTGATTTGCAGTGTTTGTGAATGTTCTCGAGCCGCGGCCATGCGCTTAGATTCAGCTTCCGTGGGTGGGACTATTCGCATCTAAGACGCTGGCGTCGTTGGAAATGAAAAAACTTGGAGAACCGAAGAGATCTCGGCAGGACTGCGTGCGCGACTGCTTCAGAAGTCAGCTTGCATGCTGGATTCAATTGAGCTTCTCTTAGGATCCTGGGAGTCCAACGATGAAGTTCCGCTCGAACATCATTGACGGCACCTAGATCGAAACGCCAAAAGTGTCTAGGGACCTAGGAGTGCTGGAAGTATGGCCCAGGCCTCTTCCACAATTTGGCGGGTGGAGAAGGTGTACTGCTCCCAGAGCCTGATCCGCGGCCCGTGGGCCCTCGACAAGTCCAACACATTCAATACAGCAGACATGGACAGTCGGAAAGATGTGAGACTTAAGTGATGACGATGGAAGTCCATGTCAGGTACATCCAAGGTTCACGTCTCCGAGTTAACCGTCGCTTCGTGCCAAGAACTCTTGCCCTAACCGCCCGAGTTTGTAATCCGTGCTACACTGCCACGTCTAGGATGAAAGATATGTCGATCCTGCTCGTCATTTACCGGTCTATCTCTCCATCCAGATAAGCGTACAGACATACAGTTACAAACATGCAAGGGAACAAACAAACATACATGCATGCATACATACATATACATACATACAGTGCAAAGAGTCCTGGCTGAGGCCCAAGCTCGGGAAGAGAGGTGACCTCTGCTGGTGCGTCAACTTCTAGGATTCCATGCAACCAACTGCCACCAAAACCCTGTCACGCTCGAGACCCTCTGCAGGACCCTTCAGCCACGGCGCAGTCTCCAGTTTCAAAGCGCTGCCCTGGCACAGGAAGCAAATGCCGCTGTGCTGCACTTTGAAGGATGCCGCGGTCTGGATGGGTGTGGGACCTGTCAACAAGCTTAGACCTTCTAGATCCCGCTCAGAAACAGCCCTTTATCCGGAACCTCCAGGATTATTCTAGATCCGAACACCTCGGCCACGGCTGCATCCGCTGATTTTATTCCGCGACTCGCGCGAGTCGAGCTGCCTTAACGGCAGCCAAAAATTCCTCAACTTAAAAGTGTCGGCTAACCTGTCCGCATGGTTTCCGGTGTGCAGTTGAGGCATCCGGTGGAATGTTCAAAAGCGATGGACAGGGCTGTGGAGGCACAGATCCGGTTCGCCATGAACTTCACGAGCTTGCCTTGAGTCTTGAGCTGTCACTTGTTCAAGGTCCGAGCGTCAAGCCGACGACCGAACCCAATGCTGCATGACCGGTTCTGCGCCACATTGCGCCACTTTGGATGCCGTGGGAGCATTTTGCATCCCAAGCTGTGACAAAGTTGCGGTGTTTTTGCATTCGAGACGCAGGCAACAAAAGGAGGACTGGGGCATGGCTTGCTGCATCCCATCCTCGGGTCGCCGTGGCTGCAGCTTGTCGGGGATGGCACTTGGAGCCTTTAGCTCAATGCATCCTGCGTCTGCTGTCCGACGGTGCTCTGAGCCTCATCAACAAAGGACCTCGCTGCTACACCGTCGAAAAGAAGTTGCCGTGCTGCATGCTGATTGCACGACCCACGGACCCCACGGAAGACTCCTTACAAACACTTCTGCCTGCGGCACCAGACCAGACTCCTCGCTGGTGCATCTCAGACTTGCATCGCCTCTCTTCTTGCCTCCTCCAGTTCAGGTGTCACAGCCCTATCGACACTGCTGTGCAAAGCCGCTGTCAGGCGACGAGGAGCGGTTACGCACAGCGCTGTGCACGGGGCAACGCAAGTACATCTGAACCCCAAAGGGGTGGTCTGCTCCATCAGCAGCTATGGACTGCGCTCGGGGAAAGGCCCCGCCTTGGGCGGGGCATGGGCCGGCGCTGTTCCAAGAATTAAGGAAAACAAAAACTCCGGGAGAAACATAATATGCCATGTCATATAATGGACTACAATACAGTTTAACACCATGAACCTCATGTAGCTGAGTAGCTGAATGTAAGATCATACAAGTATTCACACGACATATATTTTTTCTTGGAAGGCTCGCTCTTCTCACCCGAAGTCAAGGTGGCTCTGCCGAAACAGGCTTGCAAGCCTGTAGGGACACGGTGGAGACCTGCCCGAGCTGTTCTTGTCAACTGCGCCCTTTATCAGCGGACTTCAGGATCCATTCGGGGCTGGTTCGTGCAAAGTAGGTTTCCAGACGACGAAGTGCAAACCATGCCGAGTGCACTGTTCCAAGGCCAGGCCACATTATGCACTGAGACGCGATGTCAGCCACGCTAGAAAAATACCCTCCCCAAAGCAAATCTGGCGACTCGCAACAGCCGCCGGACGAAAGCATCTCTGCAGACAGACTCTCGCGCATCTCTGGAGTTGACTGAGGGTTCGACTTGATGTAAGCTTACCGGCACGTTCCGAAGCCACAACAAACAGACTCCACAATTACAGTCAACGAAAGGTGCCTTGGCGCTGTCACAGCGCATTGGACACAACACCTGCAAGCAGGATGGCTTCTAGTACTACTTAATGGCTTCTTGGCTGTCAACTGCTACTTCCGGTCACCAACTGTGGTGGTTGGTGCCTGTTCCCGTTTCCTCTTCGCCGACGTGACATGCTCCTTGCTGAGAGCTTGTACCTCAGTAGGGTAACACGACTTGCTGCCATGCTCGCGGCATCTCGCTGCATGGGGCCTGTACAGGCAATACCCATCAAACCCGTCCTGCTAATCTGGCCTGGTCAACAGCAAGACGTGGCGGGGCAAACTGCTACATGTTCAATGTTGGGGTACGAGCTGGGAACTCACACCACACCATCTCTGAATGCAGAACTAGTCACCCAGTTCTCCAGGCAGGAGCGGTGGAAGAAGTGCACGCAGCGAGGTTGAGATACCTGGCACAAGCCCTCACATCTCTTTCAACGGAAGCTCTTGCAAGCATAGCGTGCATCCGCTGCCCACCTCATCGCCTTCTTCGAAACCTTCCAGACCTCTGTGTGAATCGACATCCGTGTGCATGTGCCAAACTCCAGTCTCCTGCTTGCGTACTGCTCGTACATGCGTGCAACAACATGCATGCATGAATGCATATGCCGTCGTGTGCTGGACCACTAAGAGCCCAACAAATGGAGCAGGTAAGCGTTTCTGACCGCTGCTGTGGAGCTGGAGCCTTCACTTTGAAGGACTTGAGTTCGACTCTTATTGCGTGAGAGCAAAGAACTCCAGCAGAAACAGGGCAGACCTGAATTGGAGTCCTGAACCGGGCTGCAGAAGCACAAAGCACCCTGCGAATGCCTCTTCCTGCGCGTGCCCCTCTGCCGCCGGGATTTCTGTAGGCTCTGGCTTGTCCGTCTCTTCGTTCCAGAATGGCATGGACGGACGAGTCTGGACATAGTCATGAGTCATGAGATGTCATGAGCATTTGCTTGCAGATTATGCTGCCCCGGGGCACCTGAGGGACTTCCCCAGGCGCTGTGGAGTCCCGGGGTGCTGGTGTCAGAGGCTTCAGCTGACCCTGCTCGAACCTGACAGACGCAGCACATGACTCCGACTGGAATGGAAACAACCTAGCTGCACCATGCCATAGTTCACAAATACAGTGCGAGCGGAGATCGCAGATAAAGCCGTCCCATACTACTGTAGCTGAGGACGTGACTTGGAGGTGGTCATGTGCATCAAGAAGTACCACTCCACATCCGCCGTGAACTTCTTCTGCGTAGGCGAGGCTACTGTGACTTGTCACGGGAGCATTGAGCTTCGCTGCTTCGCACTTTGCTCCAACCTCCATGGCCACCGAGGCCGTATTGATCTGGTGTACGGACTGGATATGCGTGAACCTCTGGAAAACCGCGCTACATCGCAGGCATCTCTGCAGGCATAAGAAACCGGAAGCAACAAATTCAGGCCCGGCTGCACGAAACGCTGCTGCAATGCCCTGTCACATGCTGCCACGCGGACAGCACGGCCACGGCAGGGCACTGCGACCCACTGAAGGTTCGGTTTTTTGACGTCACCACTTTTTCTGAACCCTTCAAGCTCAGGAGCTCCCACCGCTGCACCAGCCGCAAGCGCTCGGCTGCGCATCGTCGACCATGGAAAGCCTGAGACTTTGGCCATCATCGCAATGCTCGATGGCGAGGGCTTGCAACGTCGCCGCATCGTCTTTCCCACACACTCGATTGCAAAGCCAAAGAGCACAGGTGGCGATCAAGGCCTCTAAGACTATCAGGAGCAACGGCTGGAAAATACGCCTGGAGGGATGCAAGAAGTTCACAGGGAGTTCGATGCTTCACGATGTAGGCCACCGAGGCCCCCCAACCCTCCCGCGCCTGAGAATCAACCCCAAGTTCAGCAGCTCCGGCTCGGTCAACTGGCGTTTGCAGAAGGCTCAGGGACGGATGTGACGGCTCGCCCTTCCCCGCTTTTTCTGGGCCTGCAGGATCGCCATGCAGACCAAGGTGAGGCCGTTGAGGAAGCACGCAAACTCGGCCGAGGTTCATGGGCAACCCTCTGAACATACGAACACGACTTCATCCGAACGAACCTCATGTCCACTTCGTGCCAGGCACCCTCTCGAACAACAAGACCCCATGAGATTGAGCTGATTTCTGCACATTCCGTCATTTTCTTGCGTATGTGCACGGGTTACACATTGGAGAATCCTGCTGTCCTAGGGGCGGCCAGAAGAGCATGCATCTCTCGAAGTTGCTTGCATCGCTCGGCCTGGACAAGTGCAGAACTCAGCAAGTCCTTCTGATCGAAATGAGTGCATGGTGCAACACTCATCGCATCCCAATGCAGCTCGGGCAGTGGCGTCTCAACATGGCGATACTGGAAACATGCAACATACGACGTGCCTCCATGGCGAGGTCGGCTAGCGGCCTCCTGTTGCGGAATCCACCATACCCTGGAACCTTCACCGAAACCCAAGCCAATGTGCTCCACGACCCGGTGATACACCCAACTGGCGCTGCACCCCGGCAATTGCTAGCTAATTGTCTGATTTTAAGTCCTCCCGACGATGACCAGCATCCACAGGGCAAGCGTCAACTTGCCTCCAGCTGTCACGTGCCATGATCCAGACCAACCAGATCTTACAGTACCGGCGAGACTAGACGCCTGAACGAGGCAGCCTAGCTGTCAGCACGATCAATCCTCTCGTTCATCTTGACGAGAGGTGTCTTTCCCGACATGTACGCGGCACATATTTTTGGAGGGTGGGAAGCCTCCCATCGTAGCCACAACCAGACCAAGCCAGACCTGGTGAGTTTCGACTTCCACACATCAACAAAGGCGGCTAGAGCTGTGCATGCGGCTGCTAAGAAACAGCTTTGTCACTCCCAGGCCCGGGCTGAATCGAACTCCAGTGCTGCAACAGCCAGGGTGAGCGCATGGTTTACCTGAAAAGATGTGCGCTTGACGAGTCTTGCATTCTTCCAACTCGTGTACTCCCACAGCATGGTTTGACTAAGCGCTCAAAAGGACAGCAGCGGTTCGAGGAAGCTGCAATCCAACAAGCGTGCAGTGCAGCAAGCACCAGCAACCCATATCAAGCACCCAGCCGACCCATCATCGCATACACGCTGCCCACTCCCAGCTCGAGTCTGCAAAGAAGATGAAAGACTACGAACAGATGCCAAGCTGGACAAGCACCGTAACACCAAGCCACCAAGGCAGGCGCAAGCGGGGCATTGGCTGACTAGGCACTCAAAACTCTTTAGCACCGATGAAAATGGACAGCAGCCGTTCGACCGAGCTGCAATCCAACAAGCGTTCAGTGCGGCAAGCAACATCATGTCACCCAGCCTCATCATCGGAGACACGCTGCTCACTCCCAGATCTTATTAATCTGCAAAGAAGATGAAAGACTACAAACAGATACCAGGCTGGACAAGCACCGTAACACCAAGCCACCAAGGCAGGCGCAAGGGGGCATTGGCTGACTAGGCACTCAAAACTGTCTAGCACCGATGAAATGGACAGCAGCCGTTCGACCGAGCTGCAATCCAACAAGCGTGCAGTGCGGCACCCAGCTCACTCCCGGATCTAATCTGCAAAGAAGATGAAAGACTACGAACAGATGCCAAGCTGGACAAGCACCGTAACACC